CCCATATCCATATTTTACTGTATGACCACTGTCCCCATGACATTCACTTATTTGTATCTATCACTCAATGCTATTCATTGATAGCAGTCACCAAGTGCTATTTCAATGGCTGAGTTGCGCCCGGGGCAAGAACCAGAGTAACCAGCGTCTCTGGCTGATTTCTGTAAGCCCTGGCATTGACAGGATACAGGCCTCTGGAGGTTTGTTGGAAATCTGTTATTGGAAATCTCATGGAGCTGAAGAAAATGTACAGGTGGAAGGGCCCCAAAGCCACCAGAAGTAATCCATCAACTAATCACAGTCCCAAGGTGTAAGACCAGTGTCCCACAGTGCATCATCAAACTGTGAAGAGTTTCTCTCTTTAAAACCTCACAACCTGCTGATATGCTCTGCTTGCCGTGTCCCTGTCCTGAGTTCACCCCTTTATCGTTTACCACCTGTGATCTTCTCTCAGCTTTTATCCTCCCTATCCTTCATCCTATATCACTTCTTAAAATAAACCTGTAGATACAGAATGGAAACGATAATTGGATGATTTTTCTTGGGGAAAACTATATCATTTCATTATTTTGAGAGGAGAAACTTGCATAGACATGTATACAGAACATGAGACAAAACATGTATGGACCAAAAAATTGTTTTTGAATCATGTTACCAAAGATAATGGCAACCCATTCCAGTATTCATGCTTGGGAAATCCCCTGGACAGAGGAAGCCTGGGAGGCTACAGTATTTGGGGTCTGTAGAGTCAGATTCTGCAGGGTCGGACACAACAAATAAACAAGACAAAACCAAAGATATAAGTTGGAACTTAAAAAGGCTTTGGTATGTCTTCACATTAAAGGGTTACTTTTCATTTATCAAGTGTTAACTATTGAGAGTAAAATATAGTCAATTACATTAGCTCTATATATTTCTTTTCTGTACCTCCTGGTTTTTAAGGCTTGAAACCATTGGGGAAGCTTTCAGAATTGTTACAAATGAAGTTATTCTTCCACCAGACTTAGGAAGGACCTACTAGGTTATAAACTCTTGTCCGTGATCCTTAGGGGTAAAACTCCTTTGTAGGGGTGAGTAATTGTTTTGACATCAAGCATTTGTTTAGGGTCTTGTAGGAACTGCATGTCAGTTAAATGAATAGACCCATTAATGAGCAGAGAAGGGCTAGCGGTTGAAACAGCTGTACCCTCTACTGCTCTGATCTGGGAAACAAAGAATTCTATTTTAGGGTGTTAAATAATAAGAACTTAAACTGGAATTTGGACTTAATTGGATTTTGGTAATCACTTAGTGTTCTATTCACCTAAAGTGTATTTTCTTATCCTTTCTTCCTATAACTAGTAGGGGCAAAATATCATAACGTTTAAAATAACAGTAAGCATGTGCATTATAGGAACTGCATGGAAGCATTACCACGAAGCAAATTCTTATCAGCATCTTCCCTGGCTTTTTCATCCTATTTATATTGGGGAAAAATCTGACAAATTGAAGCCATGAGAGAATACAGAAATGGTCACTAACATTTAATGAACACATATTAAGTGCCAGGTTGTGTTAGAAGCTCTCTTGGTACCTTGTATAATTCACAATCATCTTATGTTCTTGGTAACTGTGTGTTATCCCCATTTCATAGATGAAGAAACTAACAGAAGGTGTCTGAGTAACTTGTCCAGGATCAGAAAGCCAGGAAGTGACAGATATTTGAATCCGAGAAAACTTGAATCTGGAACCTACCTTCTTTTTTTTTTTTTCAACCACAATGCTCACCTGCCTCCTTGAGGGAATCAAGATGGTCTGTGGAGGTTAAATACCCATATGGCTATGGTAAACTGGGGAGACGGCTCTTGAAGTCTTACCTGTTGCATCTTCGAGGGACTGCTCACCTGAGTGATAGAAAGGGCTCCTCCTCTCCTGCTATGCTCAAGACACTGCTCAACCACACTATGCTTACAAACCCCTCCGCTGTCCTCCCTTAGGCAGTGTAAGTACTGAAAGTAGCCTCTTATGAATAGGCCAGGAGTCTAAGCAGTTCTAAAGTAAGCAATATGTGTTCAACAAACTAAATATTATGGACAAAAGTGTGTGTATTTATATTGGGAAGGGGGTTGTCAGAAGGATTTATGGCTTAGCTTGTTTTCCTAGCAGTGATGGAGATGGACTTTTGCTGCTTTATCCACACTGGAATCTGAATCCACTTAACCTCAGGTGCGTTTACATTTATATCTTGAAGGTAGCCTCCCTAATTTGAGGGGAGGCTGAACTTATGTCCTTGGCAGAGTATGGTGCCTGAGGTAACCAGCGCCTTCCAAAGCCACATCTTCACTCAGTCACTCCTGCTTTATGTTCTGTCATTGTCCCCAGGGTAAGGATATTCAGTTTTCCTCATTTGTGTCTAGCTAGATTAGAGCAGTTCGCAAACTTAACTCAAAGGGATGACAACTTGATGAAACTGCTAGCCCCATGGTAGGGCCTCGTAATTTGCTTTGACTATTGGAATTGTAGCTGGTTGTCTTAACTCCTTTCAAGCTGCTTCAATTTGCAGCTGACTGAAAGGCACACACCTATGTTGATTTATACGTAATTTTCAGAATTATTCAGAGTGGTTTGGAACCATTCCTCTATGTCAGAGTTTTCCAATGTGTTTTAATAGGGAAAAATCCATAGGAGTTCAGAATATGCTGGGTTAAAAGAGTTAAACAGGTTTGTTTTCCATAAGAGTCTCAGCCTTTAACATGGTGGGAAACATGAACCAGTGAGAGGGCAACAGTACCCAGTATCTCCTAAACTTAACTTCACCACAGAATCCTTGTTTATCAGACATGTTCAGGACCAGTGCTTCTTAGAAATACATAATGGGTAAGAACATGGAAATGGATTCTGTTCACGAAATCCAGCTCTGCTTCTTACTTGAACAAGGTACTTAGCCTCTCTATACCACAGTCTCTTCATCTGCAAAATAGAGATGATAATAAAAATACTTTACAGTGTCATTGTGAAGATTAAATGAACATATATACATCTAAGGATCTACCGGCTTCCCTAGTATATCAGACAGTAAAGAATCTGCCTGCAATGCAGGAGACCTGTGTTCAATCCTTAGGTAGGGAAGATCCCCTGGAGGAGGGTATGACAACCCACTCCAGTATTCTTGCCTGGAGAATCCCATGGACAGAGGAGCCTGGAGGGCTGTAGTCCATGGGGTGGCAAAGAGTAGGACACGACTGAGTGACTAAGCACAGCACAGCACATTACTAAGTGTAAAATGTGTCTGCTACTGTTAACTACAGCTATTTGACTCTCTACTTACTAATATAGACCCCATACACATGGAAAGTTTAAATTCCAAAAGTTAGAGAAAGTTCCTTGTGACCTTTCTGTAATAAAAGGAACATCTAAATACAGAATGATATAGTAGCTTTGAGTCGGGGGGAAACCTCAACAGTTGGCAGTTTAAATCATCTGTCTAGTTGGTATGGCTACAGTCATGATGAAAATGTTTTTTGAGTAAAAGTAAGAGAAAAAGAGAAGTGAACAGGAGCAAGCATTATTTTTATTCATCTCATTTGGACTAGGTTGAAACAGAAAATGTTAAGTTATGAGTAGTGTGTAACAGCAGACATCAAACACTTAAAATCCCAGCTTCCTGGATATAGGCTGTGGAAAAAATGAAGTTGGTCACTCAGGTCTAGCTGGGGAAGAAGGTGAAGAGAAAGCCTTTGGCAGCAACTTAAGATCCATTCATTCAAACAGCAGAATAAATGCAATTCATTCTCTGGGTGCACAAGATAAAGTTCTGTTTCAAGTGCAGAACCAGGCTGTGAACAACAAACCATAATAAGCTTTAGGTCAGAGATGCCAGCACAGGTGCTGTGGAGTCTCAGAAAACGCCCACTAAAAGACCCCGATGCTGGGAAAGACTGAAGGCAAGAGGAGGATAAGGTGGCAGAGGATGGGGAATTAGATAGCATCACCAACTCAGTGAACATGAATTTGGGCAAACTCCGGGAGATAGAGGAGGACAGGGAAGCCTGGCAGCTGCAGTCCATGGGGTGGCAAAGAGTGGAACATGACTTAGTGACTGAACTACAAAGAAGGTGGAGCTTGGATGACCTATCTCAGGGGCTAGCCTGGACCAGAGTCAACTGTTTGATGCTCATTTGCCTAAGTGTGCGGGCGGTGTGTGTGTGTGTGTACAATATAAGAGGGAAGACTTGCTTCTCGAGCAAGTGATCCCATCTGGGAAGCCGTGAGCAAGCCACACGAAGTAAAAATGGGAGGCTTGGTCGCCTGTCCTTCACCAGACGGGTCCAAAATGACTATATAAAGTAAATACCATAAATCACTGTTGTCAGGGCGCACACTGCACCTCCTCCCTCCCTGCCCCTCAGCCATCCTCATTTCCACACCCCCTCAACGGTTCAGGGAGAGCTCGTGGTCTAAGTAAACGAGAGGACTCCTGACTGTAATCCTAGCACGTCACTTTGTTGAAGGCAAACACGTGGTTCAGGGAGAACTTATAAATCTCTCCTCCCAGGCAGGATCGTGATGTTATCTGCTGCCAGCAGAAGGTTCGCTCTGAGGGGAGCTCCAGAAGCTCCCGACGAGAGAGAGAGACAGAGACAGGGAGAGAGAGAGAGAAGGTCAGCCAGAGAGATACGGAGGGACCGAGAGAGCGGCAGAAAGGAAGAGACACAGGGAAGGGCGAGCGCGCAAGTGAAGCAGGCCCGGGGAGAGGGATGGAGAGCTAGGATAACGGTCTAGGGAGCCATTCGGGCGCAAACCGAGGGGGCTGCCCGGCTGCGGAAAGCAAGCAGGAGAGGACCTACTGCGGGCTGCCAAGTGCCTGCTGCCCCAAGCGAGAAAAGCCCACGTGGGAGAGAAATCAGGCGAGGGTGGGACGGGGTGGGAGTCCGAGGCAACCCCTTCGCCAGCCCCCTAGGAATAAAACTCCCCCGCCGGCGCGTCGCCCGGCTGCCGCTGCGGTCCGCGGGCGGCGAGAGCCACGGCGGCGGCCGCCGCTCGCCTGTTGCCGGGTTGGCGTTTGGAGCGAGAGCAGAAGGAGGAGCAGAAGGAGGGAGCTGGAGGCCGGACGCGTTCGCCAGCGGCGGCGGCGGCGGCAACGTGGAGTGAGCGGGCGGGTCGGCGCGCCGGCCGGGGTGTCGGCCCCCGCGCGCAGCTCCGGGAGCAGGATCCTCGCCGCCTCCCTGCGCGGCCTCCGCGGCCCGCGCCGGACCCGGCCGAGTCCCGGGCGCCGAGCGAAGCTCTCCCGCCTCCCCGCCGCGGGCCGGGCTCGCCCCCAGCGCGCGCACCCGGGCGCGCGCGCGCCCACACTCACACCACACACACTCACACGCACACTCGCTCACACACTCACACACGTGTGCGCTCCTCCGCTCCGGAGCTGCTGCCGCTCCTGCTCTCAGCGCCGCAGTGGAAGGCAGGCCCGCGCCGCGCCGCTCCTTCTTGAAATATATAAATTGGAGCCGGCCGGCCTCGGCCGCCCCCCTGACAGCGCGGCCCGCGCCCCTCCCGCCGGCGCGCCCGCTGCCAGCCCCGGGACCTTTTCATCTCTTCCCTTTTGGCCGGAGGAGCCGAGTTCAGATTCGCCACTCCGCACCCGAAACTGACATACTGAACTCCGTTTCCTCCTGCTAAATTTATTTCTGCCTAATAGCCACTCGTCTCTTTTTTCCGCCCCCCCTCCCCTCCATCTCGTCGCTCCAAGAAAACTTTTGCCGACTCCCTCAAGTGCAGGTTCCCCCTGCCCGTCGTGTATTAATATTTCCACTTGGGGAACGACGTTGCCTTTTCTTTTGAAAGGAATTCAAGCAGGATACCTTTTTCTCTCGGACATTGACTCTCGATTGTTTGCAAAAGTTTCGCATTAAAAAAAAATCTACCTGATCTGTACTTTGAGAGTTGCTAGGTTTTTTTTTTTTTTTCTTACTTTTTTACTTAAAAGAAAAAAAAATTTTTTTTCCACCTTTAAAAAAATGCACTACTGTGTGCTGAGCGCGTTTCTGCTCCTGCATCTGGTCACGGTCGCGCTCAGCCTGTCTACCTGCAGCACGCTCGACATGGACCAGTTCATGCGCAAGAGGATCGAGGCGATCCGCGGGCAGATCCTGAGCAAGCTGAAGCTCACCAGCCCCCCAGAAGACTATCCCGAACCCGAGGAGGTCCCCCCGGAGGTGATCTCCATCTACAACAGCACCAGGGACTTGCTCCAGGAGAAGGCGAGCCGGAGGGCGGCCGCCTGCGAGCGCGAGCGGAGCGACGAGGAATACTACGCCAAGGAGGTTTACAAAATAGACATGCCGCCCTTCTTACCCTCGGAAAGTAAGTACCGCTCCTTGCTTCCATTCCCCGGGGCTTAGCGCTGCCCGAGGCTTCAAGAACCGCAGCCACTCCAGGGATCGCCCTGCCCTCTGGGGTCCCCGGCTCGCTCCTTCCCCTTCTCTGGTCCTCCGTCCCACCCACCTCCTTGCCAGCTGTGTGCTTGAGAACATTAGGTTTTAAAACGTGGACTTGCGACTTTATTTTCTCCATTTCTTCCCTCCCCTCTCCCCAACGCCCCCGTCCTTTATAAGGCGTTATTCTCTCTCTCTCTCTTTTTTTCTTCTCCCTGGAATTCTCTACTCGGCCACCGGCTAGGAGTCAGCCCTCCTCTGTCAAACTCCAGGCGCTCCCCGGGGGCGAGTTAAACCGGGAAACCTCGGTGGGTTTGTTTTCTTTGCTCCGATTGGCCTGGAGCCCGCCGAACTGGGGCGCGAAGGGTTAAAAAAAAAAAAAGAGTGGCTCAAAACGATCCTCACCGGAAGGCGCCCCATTCCGTGCCGACCTATCAGCTGATTCCGCGAGGCTTCCCTATTGTCTGTAACTCCCCGAAAAATGTCAGCATCGCCAAGACGAAACCCGATCTGGCGACCCCTCCAAAAACCGACCTCCAGCCCCTCAATTCGTGAATCTCTGACCTCGACGGGGTGTTTACATCCCCCCGCCCCCGCCAAGGCGAGATCTTGTAACCTTTTGATTTCACCTGGAATGGTAGAGAGGACAGCTTCGTTTCTGACTACGTTTAAAAGAGTTTTTCCTTCCTTTTTTTTTTTTTTTTTTCCAGAATCCTCTCAAACCTGCCTTCTTAAAATCGCCGGTGTAGCAAATCCTTTTTGTTAGGCGTTTTATCGTTAATCTTTCTCACTCTAGAGCCCGGTGTTCCCTGCCCTTTCATAGGCTTCCTGCAGTCACTTCGTTGCATTCCTGAATCTCAGCGTAGAAGACAGCCGATTTCTTTTTTTTTTTTTTTTTAAACTGGCTTCTCTGAGGGCAGTGTCCTCAAAACCAGCTGGCATACAGTAGCCATGGAATTGAAATGATTTATTGTTGGAGTTTCTTGGGGGGAAGGGAAGAGGGCAGTTAGCTTAGAATGATTTCTTAAATCATTTCTTAATGATTTTCTTAAAAAAAGAAAAAGCAAAGAAGAAGCATATATTGATACCTGAGAGGGTTAAATACCAGGAAGAAGAAAAAGAAAGGAGAGAAAAAAAAAAAAAGCTCCAACTTTTGCGTATTCCAAGTCCCAAGTCGTACACTTTTCATTGGTTGCCCATTTCTCTCCGCCCCTTTTCATGCCCTATATACTCTCTGGCTGCCTTCACAAAGTCTCTGTGTCTTGCCTACAGAGATAATATGGCCATCTTGGTAGTTTTATCCTAGAGGTTCTAATTGCAGGGTGGTGCTTCTCTTTTTGAATATTTATATTTAGTTTGACAAGTCGTAGTTCCGGGACTTGCCATGTCTTGTATCTGATGGTCTCAGAATATCGGCTGACGTATACAACCCCAGTCTTCCTGGCGACCTCTGTTTTGCTGCAGCAGCATCTCTTGTTTAAGAGCAGAGCTGAGATAGGAGATCCTGGCAAGGGGGTCGATTTTATTATTGTAATTATGACACCATTCACCACAGTGGTGATAATATACGCTCCATCTTGGTGATGGGGGGGGGGAGGGAGGCGGGTAAGAGGGGTGGAGGGAGGCGGGTAAGGAGGGTGGGAGGAAGGAAAGCTTTCTACCTGGGACGGAGCCCTGGAGATATTAGGAAATAAAGTTCATTGTAATTTAGCGCAAAATCATTGAGACCCAACAGGGAGTTGAGTCAGTTTGCTTTCTCTAGCACGTGCGACGTTCTACTGGAATTTGGGCAGGCAGGCAGTTATGTTATGTAGAATTAGAACAAGCCAACCCTTCAGTGTTTACCTGCAACAGCTTTAATGAACTGCTGGTATTTTTATAACACAGAGGAGGTCTGATCTCTTCCTGAGATAGGTGTGGAGAGAGCAAGTTACCCAAGAGGGTGTTCATTCTTTCAAACCCTCTTCAATCTCAAGAACTGAGATGATCCCACTCGGGATCATAATCATCACCAAACTGGGAAAATTCTCAGATTATTAGGATTTCAGAGGTTGGCATTAAAGATGGGTGTGTGGATTCCCTTCTGTTTCCACTCCCAGCTACCAAAGAAATTGAAAACCTCTGATCAGCACAGGATAAAATATACACTATCAGTTTTCCTACAAAGAATGCAGGCTTCTTAAAGCCTGAAAGGAAGTTTAGGAGCAGAAAGTCTTATTAATAGCAGATTTGATACTACTGTGCTAGGACTGTGGATAATTTTATAGAAAGTAGGTTAACTGATTTTCCAGCACTTTCTAGTTATACTGGAATATAGAGAACCCTTCCAAAAAAAGGGGGGGGGGGAGAAAAGAAAAAAAAATCACTCCACCATATTTTTTAAAGGGCAAATTGAAAGGACAGCATTGGCTTATATACCAAGTCTCCCTCTTTAGGACTGTTCCTCTTAACTTTTAACTCGGTCCTCTCTGAAGCTGCTGTGGGGAGGGAGTGTGCCTGTCATTTCTCAAAGGGAATCCGAGGACGGTCACGAGCCCCAGGGATGGAGGCATGGGAAAGATCACTGGTTCATTTTTTACCACCAACTTATTAGCGTTCAGGGAGTGACTTCAACTCAAATATTACAAATATGCTCTAATTATACTCAATGAGCTATATATCATTACAGATTCTTGATAGTCCTTTGCAGGACATTTTATACAGTTCAGACAAATATTTTTAGCAATGCAGAGTTTTAAAAGTAAAAATATAAGATATTGTATATGCCTTGAAGCATATTTTGTCTTAAATATTATCCTTGGACCAGTGTACTATATAAATACAGTAAATATGAATAGAACTGGCCAGGTGCCAATCTCCTAGGATAAATTTTAGTCAAGAAGGTATTTATGGGTTATAAATAATACTGTGTCAACATTTGAAGAAGGGGTCTGATTAGTTTTGAATTTATTTGTATTGATCTTTTCACGTGCTGTTAGTTTAAGGCTCAAAGTGGAGTTATGCTAAGGTTTATCCACACTTTACCCAGTGGGAATTAGCAGACTTCTCATCCTTTGACAATCCACTGGAATCTCAAGGCACATCTATTCCAAAGACACTGTACTAGGCTTTAGAAATTTAGAAAGAGTGATTCCACTTAATGGAGTAAGAATCCAAATGATTAACAATTGAAATATGTAGACACTTGGACAGTCAAAAAAGGAAAAAGGACGAGACAAAACTTTTTTTTCTTTCTTTCTCCTCTCTCTCCCATGTAACAAATTTCAGGCAGGTGTTTTGGTTCTTATTGTGGTGATGTTACCGCTTTTGCTATCCCCACCCTCAGGGAATGTTTGGCAATGTTTGGAGACATTTTTGGATGTCATGACTGGGGATGGAGAGGCCAGGGATTGCTGTTAACCACTCTAGAATGCACAGGACAGGTCCTCTTCCCACTTCCAACCCCCTTACATCAAAAAATTATGAAATTCCCATGTGGAGAAGCCCGGTGACCCTGGGATTTATTTGGGATTGCTAAATTCTGCAGTAGCACCACCTCCAAAGTAATAACCTAAAAACAAAACATCTTTAGTTTTCTTAAGTAAGTTGGACTATGAATTTCACTCTTTTGTATGATATATAGTATATTATGATGATCTTAAAGAGCTTCAATGAGAGACATCAAAACTTCCCATTCATTTAGCCTAAGCAGTAGTGTCACTCTACCCATCTGTAACTTCAGTTAGCAGCAGTATGATATTAGTCAGGACAGAGAAAAAAGAAGTGTGGGATTATCTTGGATTTTCCTTGCAAGGAAAATAAGCAGCTCATGTTCAGGAAGAGTGGAATCTCCAAGCTACGCAATGGAAGAAAGTAAATAATCATGTTGGTTTATTCTGTCATATTGAATTAGATAAACCAAACTGTACAGCAGGAGACATCATGATGAGGTTTCTTTTGTAACTGACTCACATAAATGCTAAACATTTAATACCAGGCAATCTTCTTTTCTATTTCCCCTGTAAATTGCCAAGTGAAATCATGGAACATAGAATGGACACAGTAGTAGCACTGTATGGTTTGGGGCAGGGGTGCAACTTACCATTTTATTCATGGATGTATCTTTTCTATGTACATACTGCTGGTGGTGGTGGTTTAGTCACTGGGTCATATCCGACTCTTGCGACACCATGGACTGCAGCCCGCCAGGCTCCTCTGTCCATGGGATTCTCCAGGCAAGAATACTAGAGTGGGTTACCATTTCCTTCTCCAATACATTGCTGGACTGTCAACCAATTTCCCAATGAAGGAAAATACTAGCAGTTGCTAGAATACAATAGTATTTTTGCTGGATAGTCAGGAATTATTTTTCTTTTTCTTTTATTGAACTATAGTTGATTTATAATATTGTGTTAGTTTCAGGTCTACAGCCAAGTGATAGGGATTTCATTTTTGAAGATTCTCTGTGTGTGGATGTGTGAGTAAGAGAGACACAGAGATCAAAGACAGACTTGAACCTCTTCCCTAGACTTCCCCAATGACTGAGTTACTAATACACAGCAGACCAAGTTTTAATTCTCCCACTTGTATTGAATTGCATCATTGCTTGTACTAACTCTAGTGCCTAATTGTGGTCACATTTAACTTAGGCCACGTTCTTCTCTTCCAGGGTTTCCTCTTTTCTTTCTTTTACTTTTCAAAGTCTGGGAAAAACCCTAAAAGAAATATAGTGGTTATAACTGAAGCAGTTGGGCCGTCTTTGTTGCCAAGGGAGGCCGCTCTCCTCTTCCGAGGAGTCTCTACAAACCGGATGGAGGCTGGGCTTTGTCAAGCTGGAGGAGTAGGTGGGGACCCGCTGACCTGGCAGAGGCTTCGGGAGCCGGCTGTGTCTCCACAGCGACCCCTGGGGTCGACTCAAGGAACTGCACTTTTTGAATGCTGCCTTCTCCC